GAGGTTACTGTGAGCTGTGATACCACGGCACTCTACCCACGGGGACAGCTTGAGGCTCTGTCTCAAAAAATAAAAAATAATTTAAAAAGAAAAAAAGAAGATGGCTGAAGGAGGGGTGGTGAATGTCTGGGAAAGGAAGGGACAGAGATCAAATTGAGCACAGGGCCTTTAGGAACTCATGAATTCCAGCTGGTGTCCACCCTTCCCCACATACTGCCCAGACGCAGTCTGCATTCATCCATTCAACGACTATTTGAGTATTTTTTCAGTGCCTACTGTATGCCAGGTGCTGGGCACAGAACAAAACAAGACTTCCTGCCTCCACGGAGCATAAAACTGAAAAGAAACAATATAAACTAAATTATACCAACACATTGTGAATAGGAGGGCTTGAGAAATAAAGGGCTTGCTTGGGTATCCTAGAAAGACTTCCTGGAGGTGGTGAATTGTTTTTCAACACACATGCACACCAAAGCCAGACAAATCACACTAATTAACACCATAAACAGACCCTAAACTATGTGCTTAAAAGCAGCTAAGGCACCAGCCACATACACCAGAGCTGACCGGTCTGAATCCAGCCTGGGCCTGCCAAACAATGACAACTACAGTCAAAAAAAATAGCCGGGCCTTGTGGCAGGTGCCTTGGAGTCCCAGCTACTTGGGAGGCTGAGGAAGAGAATCGATTAAGCCCAGGAGTTTGAGGTTGCTATGAGCTGTGACACACACCCAGGGGGATAGCTTGAGGCTCTGTCTCAAAAAAAAAAAGTCCCTGAGGCCACATAGGTAGTGAATGGCTAAACAGATTTGAAACCACAGCCTGAATTTCTAAGCACCGTGAAATAGTGTTTTCTGCTATATCCACACACAAGTCCCTCCATACACATATACACACATTACGGTCATTCAGAGGCACACCCAACCTTACACCCATGGAGACTGATGCTGTGTTGCCCGACTATATACACACACTCCTGCAGGTTCATTCTGGTCTCAACTGTGTATAATATGTGTATAACTTAGACTCATAGGAAGTTCCACCTGACCAGTTGCACATACACAGATGTGTACGACATCATATATATACACAGACACCTGTGTGTTTGGCCACACACATATATGCCTGAAGCCCTTGATAATCCTTCCCAGACCTGCTTCAGCTCTGGGCATGGAGCTTGGGTAGCTAGCTGTGAGGGCTTAGGGCCCAGGGCCACAGTGTGGGTGTTTACCTTCATTTCATTCTCTCTTGTCTGCTACCCTTCCCCACATCCTTCTGTTGGAGGAAGTGGGGGTGGGCAGGATGTTGGGCTGGGTGAAGTCAGCTTTCCTCTGCCAGCCCTGGCCTGTGGCTCCCAGGCAGAGCTGGTGGCTGACAAAGCTGACAAGCTGCGAGGGGAAAAAGAGCTTTCTCAGCGTGAGCCTGG